GCTCCATCAATAGGGAAAAGCATTACTATTGTTATGTAGAGAAATATTGTTGAGAACTAAGAGCACAAAATATTGTTAAGGAAGAATTGTCATAATATTAACCAATGTTTATAAAGGAATTATAAAACTTCCTTTTTTACAGAAAATGATTTATCATGTAGAATCTATGAATGCTTGTTTTTAAAGAATAATAGTTGCTACTCTAACTTGAAAAGGTTGTATGTAGCACAGCACGCTGTCACATGCTGAGATTTTAGGATATGTCATATTATTGCTTTGCCAAAACATCAGATGTACATTCAGTCCTGCCAGGCTTACTTGGGCTGTGCTGCTGAAAGAGTACACTGAAAGAAAGTCAGGGACCGAAACTGTTTCCAAGTGGTATAAATCTTGTTTTTAGCAGTTAGATTTATATACCGCTTCATAGGGCTTTCAGCCCTCTCTAAGCGGTTTACAGAGTCAGCATATCGCCCCCACAGTCTGGGTCCTCATTTCACCCACCTCGGAAGGATGGAAGGATGAGTTTTTGGCAAGTACGGTAGTTTTAAATAATAAAATGCTAGTTTTGGGAGGCGCCATTCAAAATAGATTATCGTTTTGTGAAATACACTTTTAGCAGAGTTAGCATTTTAATCCTGTTGTAATATAGGAGGAACTCTTTAATTGTAGGCCTGTTTCTCTGGATCCAGAGGAAAGCTTTCTGTGTTATTCACAGTCTACCTACCCTATGTACAGTATACAGCAATTCATTAGCTACAGAATAGAGAGCAATATTTTGTTTTATTATTATTTTCCCATAGTTGTTAAAGTGAATCTGGTTTCCCCAATTGACTTTGCTTGTTGGAAGCCGGCCTGGAAGGTCGCAAATTGCGATCATATGACTGCAGGATGCTGCAACTGTTATAAATGTGAACCGGTTGCCAAGCACCCAAATTTCAATTTCAACCACTCCCATAACTGTGGGAGTAGTCTGATGGTCGCAACTTTGAAGACGGATCGTAATTCATTTTTTCTGGAGCCACTAAAATTTTGAACCATCATTAAACAAATGGTTGTATTCAGAATAGTATAGAGCTGGAAAGGATCTTGGAGGTCTGCTAGTCCATCCCTCTGCTCAAGTAGGAGAACCTATACCATTTTAAATAAGTGACTATCTAGTCTCTTCTTAAAAACCTCCAGTGAGGGAGCGCCCATGATTTCTGAAGGCAAGCTGTTCCATTGGTTAATTGTCCTCCCGGTTAGGAAGTTTTTCCTTAATTCCAGGTGGCTTTTCCCTTTGGTTGGTTTCCAACCATTGTTTTTTGACCTGCCCTCTGGTGCTTTGGAGAATAATTTGACCTCCTCTTATTTGTGGCAGCCCCTCAAATACTGGAATACTGCTATCGTGTCATCCCTAATTCTTTTTTTCTTTAGACTAGTCAAACCCAGATCAAGTATTATCTGTATTTAGGTTTTAACTTTTTGCTTATCAGTTACCTGGATTTTTAAATAATAGTTTTTTGAACTTTAGCCTAAAAAGAGTAGACAGTCCTTCATTCCCACCTTCCAATATTTTTTTAGTAGAATCCTCAGGTTTTGCTTAGTGTTTCATATTTCACCTAGTTTGCTGAAGTAGTAGTGATTGGTCTAGTTAAAACACCAGTGATCAACCAAATAAAATTTAGTCTTAATTCTGGTATTTGAGAAACCACATCTTATATTGAGGAAGAAAGGAATTAAATTATATTAGTATTTTTTGTAATTCTAGATTCTTTTATGGTGGTTTCTTAGGGTGGAAAAAAATCATATAGAGGAAATACTCCTTCCAGCAAGCACAAGAAAAAAATTACTAGAGGAAAATGAGACATTGCTGACAGATTTTTGTTTAAAAATAATTAAGGTGTAATAGAGTAGATTCTTTGATCTGGATTTCTTGCAGAATCAAAGTTAAATCCAAAAATTAGTTTAAGTATTTCTTACCTTGAGTCTGCGGTATCATAGGTTTAATTTCTAGCGTCACTGACGATCAATTTTATTGCTAATATTTTAGTTATTATCATATATTTGCAGCTACGTTTCAGGAAAAAAATATTAGAACTTTCTTATTCCATGGGGAAGTAGTCCATTTTAATGTGCCTTTGGATTTTTATATAGGGGAATATACAGTTTTTAACATTTTGGGAAACATTAAATATAGTATTTATTCTGTTAAAGACATGCTGGGATGTTCATGTTCATCATGGAACTGTGGCAGCACAGGCAGTCAGTTTCCTTGTTACTTAATATTTTTATCTCACTAGATAAAAAAAAGGGTTAGAGAGATCAATTCAAAGCCACAAAGGAATGGTATGACTTCTAAGTTACCATTTATATCTAATTCAGGGCAAGTTGTTTCTTGTCTGAATAATAAATATACACCCCTACTCCTTTGGTAAATTGATGAGGCCCAGCATGATTGCTGTCCAATTATAGGTTTAGTTTCAGTAATTTTTGTACATTCTGGAAGTTAACATCTTGAGTTCCTGCTGCTCAGGCTGAAAAACCTTCTGAAAATTGCATGTTTTAAAATTGGATTTCAAATTTTTGTCTTTCCAAGTGAGAAAATGTCTAATTCAATCTCAAAGGAGCCATTCTTTAATTTTAACATTCTATCTATGTTCGTTCTTCAGCATGCTGGATTATGACACGGAAAACCTAAATTCTGATGAAATTTATAGTTCTCTTCGTGGAGTCACAGAAGCTATAGAAAAATTTAGTTTTCGTAGCCAAGAGGATCTAAATGAGCCAATCAAACGTGATGGAAAGAAGGACAGTGATATTGTAAGTAGACATTGAAAGCATATGTAATTTATGTGTGATTTATTAACAGCAGTGATCATTAATATTTAGATAAAATAGTTTGCTATTTTCAACATCTCCTACATTGTTCAATTTCAAGCAAACAACAAATAGGTGTTGAGTTTATCAACTGGGCATTTTTTATATATAATAATTTGACCAGATCTGCTGGACTGTGTAGGAGAAGAAGAGGCCTGGGGGCAGAGTCAAAAGAGGAATCAGCTTGGAATCATTATATTCCCACAAGCGAACCATGTTCAGTTCCCCTTGAATTCTGTTAACTCCTATCTAGCACCAATTTAGTGGTGACCATAGTTGATTAGATTCTTGTCTCAATAGGATTGAGCAATAAATTAGCTTGACTGGAAGTACCATATTTTTTGCACTATAAGATAGACCAGGCCATAAGATGCACATTAGCTTTAAAGGAGGAAAATTGGGGGGGGGGGATCTCCCTCTGCCTCCCAGCATCTATCCACTAGGCTTGCATCCTTGCAGCAAACAGCAAGCTTCAGCACGTTATCGCAGCCCCAGCAGGTAGCTCATCAGGGCTCTGCTCTACAGTCAACTAAAGTGACCTGCTGCCGGAGAACAGTGGAGCCTTTGCTGCCAAGCAGCTGATTCGTGGTTGGATCAGCCTCCCGGAATACAACCAATCAGCTGTTCTAGGCGGGAGGGATCGCCGCCGCAGCCAATCACTGCCATTCAGTAGTGGTGATCAGTGGCAATCCCAGAAGGCTGATCCAACCACCAATCAGCTGCTCAGTAGTGAAGGCTCCAGCATTATTCGCTGGTGGTGAATGATGGCAACGGTGGTGGTGCTAACAGGCAGTGGCAAATGCCTCCGCTCCACCAATCCCTCTCTCCCTGCCGCAATATTTGCTCTATAAGATGCACAGACATTTCCACCCACTTTCTTTGGGGTGGGGGGAGAGTGTGTCTTATACTGTATTGTGAAAATTAGCTTGTCCTGATTCTTCCTGCCTGACAGAATGCTAGATCCTGTAGTGATAATCCATTTTAGGAGCATCAGTTTGAGATATGCTAATGTACACATATACTGTATACAGTACATATACAGTATTGTTTCATTTTTTAAAATTTTTACTTTTTTCTTTAACTCTTTATATTTGCCATCCCTGCAATGGAGAACATGATGGGTCCATTCCATGTATAAACTAAAATATATACATTTTTGTACTGTGTTGTAAAATTATATGATCTAATATAATTCTTGTCACTATAATCAAATGTTTGATATATAGTAGTTCTGTGCTCAGAAAAAGGGGGGAAGAAGGGAAGGGAGGTATGTATGTTTGTATAGGAGGCCGTCTTGAGACTATTTTGAATATTTGCTCACATAAATTTTCTGGTACCCAAATCAAGCAGTTGGATTTATGCACAGAAACATCTAAGTGAATGAAATCCACGGTGCTAATTGAAGCCATGCCAATTATCATATCTTGGATTCAAAAATTTTACAATTTTCTTCCTCTCCTCAACATTGGCAATAAATCCAGTTCACAGTGTTGTTCAATATTATTTAGCAGCTGCAGAAAGGAAGAATAGCAACTTATTGGAATGACTGCAGTTGATGATGAAGAAAACCTATGTTTAGAAACTGCCAGTTTGAAATTAGGGTTTGGTGCAAACAAAGTTATAATTTATTTAGCCCTATTAATCAAAGTGGAAAAAGACTGCTGTTTGCAGTGTAACCTATTATCAGAGTAACAATAGAGTTGGCTTTTCTAGCTTAATGGAAACTGGTCCCAATAAAGTCATCTTTGTTTGATCAATTGTTACAGGTTTCCAGAGATGATGGTATAGCCTCACCAGCCACTGATGTGCGTGGAAGCAGTGATGTGGTAGAAGGAGGAAGGATGGCTCTGGATAACAAGACTTCTCTGCTCAACACCCAGCCCCCACGTGCCTTTTCTGGACCCCGAGCTCGAGAGTACAACCCTTACCCCTACTCTGATACTATCAGCGCCTACGATAAAACTGCTCTTAAGGAAGCCGTATTTGATGATGATATGGATCAACTTCGGGATGGTTGGTTTTCATTTTTTTAAAATTCAGTATTGATCTTATTGTTGCCTCAGCATGTACCCATTGATGTTAAACTGTTACAGGATATCATACTGACACTAGCTTCTTGAATCCAGTTTACTTCATTTCTTAATCAGCCAGGTGGTACAACAGCCACAGGCTCATCTTTCAATTTTAATAGTGAGACTTGAGCCCTGACATTCTGTAAGTGGTCTTCCACATTCACATTAGTAAAGAAGCCAAGCTCCAAAAGTCATTTCTTTGTGAACTGAAAGCTATATCTGGTTAAAGGAAAAGCCGTGGGAACAGAACCTTCATATGTTTTCATTTGGCTCCCTTGCCTGCTCAGAATTGCTTTATGAGCACATAGTGACAAGTGGTAACACTGAGAATCAATTGTTAGAGACTTTATATATTTAGATTATAGATAAAATCTTTGTACTTAAAGGACTCAAGACATATTGTGTTTATAGTCTAGTTAGAAATATTGTGAATATGTCCTGCCGTCACCTGTTGAAAGTTCTTGCTTAATTTTCTTTGCTGTGAAATGACTTTTCCACTCTTTTCTTTTCAGTGCCCATTGATCATTCGGACTTGGTGGCTGATCTTTTAAAAGAATTATCCAATCATAATGAACGGGTAGAAGAACGGAAAGGAGCCCTTCTTGAGTTATTGAAAATTACAAGAGAAGATAATCTGGGAGTTTGGGAGGAACATTTTAAGACAATTTTGCTCTTATTACTTGAAACACTTGGAGATAAAGATGTAAGATAATGCCATAGGCTTTGCTGTGCCTCATAGATACTTACCGCCCACACTGACATTGCATCCTATGTGGCTAATGGTGGTTTCTGTTTTCTTTAGTTTAATCTGACTTCCACAGTCTCAGAAATGCCATCCAATATAATTATCTTAGTTATCTAACCCCACCTCCAGTTTCTCCAAAAGGATCATCACTCTGATTCTGTGACACTTGAAATTTGTATTCCTCAAATGTGTGGTGCATGTTGGAACACTCTCGCTATGCTACTCACTTCCTCTACCAAACATCTCCAGTTGAGGAGGGCGCCCATCACATAGTACTTTATTCAAGATGCCTTCAAAAGCTGGCTAGGATAGGGGCATCCGTATGGATTTGGAGATGGATGCTGCTGCCAAAAAATAATTCTATCAGCAACACATAGTCTGGGAACCAAATGTTATATGCAGAGGCCCTCTAAAATGTTATATTATTTAATTTAGCTTAATCAAATGTAATTGGCTTGAAATTAAAGTTTGTTTTTGTTCTATCCCTGTCTATTTTTTTAGAGCATTGCCTTTGGTATATAAAGGTTGTGTTGTCCTTAAGCCCACCCCCCTGCCCCAAGTTGCAGCTGTGCCATTTAATAGCAAGACGATACTTAAAAAGCTAATACATTTCTTATTGTAGAAATTAGTCTTGCCCAGGCTAGATGCATATGCTGAGAGATTTCAGAAAGTTATTATTATTATGAATGTTATTTTATGTAAACTTGTATGCCTCCTAACTCACAGTGATTCTGAGTAGCTATAAACTTTTGTGGCTTAATTAGACTATTATTTTTTTCATTTGAGTAAACAGAATTATTATGGCAGTGGCTATGAGATTATACATGTCAAAATTTTAATTTCGTATTTGAAATATTTAAAAACGAAACCGTGTTTCTTCTTTTTTTTGTAAGGAAGCAGATATTTTCACTTCTGAAGCTCTTACATGGAGCATCACGGTGGTATCTTTTCAGTGGCTTTTGGATAACTGAAAACCACATCAAAAGCAAGCAGAGCCAATAAACAATTTACCACTCAGCCAGACTCAAGTTTTCTGCAATTGTGGATATAGTCTGAATTATTTCATTCTTCTTAAATTCAAATAAACAAATTGTAACTTAATTAACTTCTCCTGCTATAGCAGGGGTCCCCAATCTCCGGGCCGTGGACCGGAACCTGTCTGCAGCCTGTTGAGAAATGGGCTATTTAAGCAGGTGATCTAGTTTGTGCACATGAAACCATCCCCCTGCCACCACAGCCATCACTGGTCCGTGGAGCATGAAAGGTTGGGTACTGCTGTGCTGTAGGATAGATAACATCTACCCTATTGATATTATATGATTATAATTTGTTTTCTTATCTATATTTTTAATAATGGCAGAGTTCCTAAAAAATAAGAATGATATGGAAGGTACCTAAATTTGATAAGTAAATAAATTAAAAAAGAATCAAAACCATGTTCATAGAAAGTTAAGTACTTTTGGAATAACTTGCTGAAAGCAGGTAATAAAATTTGCACCTGTTATTTTTTTCCATTTGTTTCTATCAGTACTTCTTGTCATTCGATGTTCAAAGATTAAAATCTGAACAAATCAAATGTTAGCTTGGGAATTGCAAAGCATGAGGACATACTTAACAGTTCAGTCTGAGGAAGCTAAACCTTATGCTTCTGGGTTGAAGCTAGTCAATGGTTGGAATGGCTCTCATCCAAAAACCTATCCCAACAATTATATAACCTGAGATGTTATTCTGATATTCTCACTAATAATGATCTTCTTGGATAAAGATGCCGGTGACTAGGGAGGAGTAGGACTGTCATGACAGCAGAGTGAATGAAAAAACTAATACTGATCTCCAAAAGAAATGTAAAATAGATGTATTTATGCAAAACCGGGCTGTTTTCACTTCCTGTGTTACTAATAATATAGTATTGATCTTCATTACCAAATAAGAACCAAGGAAATGAAATTTAATTGAACTTTTGGATTTTTTATGTATTTCAAAAAGAGACTGAATTAGAAATGGTTATGTAAAAACTCTGTTTGCTATTCTCTTTGATACGCAGTTCAATGGGTGGCTTATTTTATATGTTGACATAATATAAAATCTCCCAATATCTATTAGCAGCTACTTAGTTCTCACGCAAAGAAAGTGATTCAGTTTTGCTAATGAACTTGAGCCCGTGATGCAAGGCTACTCTGGTGTTCTCTTCTGAGCATTGTCAATTTTTCTTCTTAGAAATTTGATTTTATAAAATGTGTATCCATTCCAGTCAAACAATGCATTCCTTCTATTAATGATTTTGAAGAGTAAAATGAGATCTTCAAGCCACCCAGAGTCGCTTGTTAATGAGATGGAAGTCATGTAAATTTTAATAAATAAAGATGTGCTACTTCTTTTGATTTAGCATTCAATACGAGCCTTGGCATTGAGAGTTTTGCGAGAAATTCTGAGGAACCAACCAGCAAGATTTAAGAATTATGCTGAACTAACTATCATGAAGACCCTAGAAGCGCATAAAGATTCTCATAAAGAGGTAAGTCTTGAGTATCATACTATATACCATACTTTAAGAATCAATGTCTCTATAGGTCATGCCTTACTATTAATTCCAATAGCACTATATTGATCCAGTAAGTATAAATGGAATGAAGAGAAAAGTAAATCATACCTTAATGGAATTTCTAACTTATAGTTCTGACCTAGTTTCCTATATTATTGACTATAGTCCTAAGTTTACTTTTCTTGTGAGTCTGCATTTAATGCAGGGCTGTCAAACTTGCGGCCCGTGGGCCGGATGTGTCATGCTCTGGGCATACCCCCGTGCGGTTTAGGGAAAGGAGGGAAAGTCATGTGATGCCACCGTGACGCTGCAAATTTGACAGCCCTGATTTAAAGAATTTCTCTAGTTATCTCATGTGAATGATTTAAGCTTGGGACCCACCTTTTAGCCATATATGACCCTATAGCATTCTGTCTGCAGCTTCTAGGACCTACAAAGCCATCTTAATGGGTATGTGTTTCAGGGTTTATAACCAAAATTAAGGCAGCCATTTCAATTTAGTTTATCCTATTTTTTCTCAAATGAAAAATAAAAAAATGTCCATGAGTCCAAAAATTTCAGATCCACCTACTTTGCAGATATTCCTCAAGCAGTATTGTCATTTCCCCAACACAAAAAAGGTTGCCATTTCTTGCCAGAACTCCAGTGACAAATAAAATGAAATAAAGAATATGAAAACATTCAATCTATTTCAATACCTTATATTTTATGTTTAACCAACACCAGATTTTCTTGTGGTGATTTTTTTTAAAAAAAAACTAGCATTAGTCTTGGTATATTTTTTTTCAGTTTACATCATGACTCTCCAGATTCATTACAGGACTGTAATCTTTCTAATTGAAGGCAACTGAGTTAAGGGTATGCAGTTTGTATAGAATAATGAAAACTTAAATACAGAAACAAAAAGAGATAGAAAGAGCTTTTGGCCATAGAATAGGAATAACAGAATAAGCTGCACTATACATCCATTTAGTTGTTTACAGGATTGTGTTTTAAATACACAATGACTTATTCGGTTAAACAAGCAACATGGGAACAAAAGGCATAAGAATTGTTGTGAAAGGCCAGGAAATATTTAATCCTTTTAATAAATGAGCATGTCTTTATTATGTTTTCTTGGAATCAGAGTCTTCATACAACAGCTTTCTGTGTATGTGTAGCCACAATTACCAACAGTTGTAACAGATTTTGCTATAAAGCACTTTGACAAAACATTATGTTCTTAAGGAGTGCCTTTGTTGGCAAGCTTCTCCCTACTGTGCATTCTTATTGTTTCACCTTGACTTTGTGCCCTTGTCCTTTTCTTTGTGAATTACCTGTGAAAATAATTGAGAAAGCTTGCCATATCCAGCGACTTTTATTCTGGTTAAATTTGTATATGGACATTTTGCACTTGCAGTTGGTAGCTGTAATTAAATGTAGAGGAAGGAAGGAAGGAAAAGTGGTGGGTCCTATTCCATATATCTCTGAGCCTGGCTTTGCTACGCTCAGAGATATATGTAATATCCTTACTGGAGCAATTTATTTATAATAATGAAAAGGCCAGTTTCCAATAGAAATATTTAAGAAACTCCATAGTACTTCTTTGTGAGAACTTAGCATTTATTTCTACAGTACTTTCTTCCTTCTTTTTTAATAAATCATCCACTGATAAAAGGGCCTGTCTTTTAATGACTGACAAGTTTGTTATGTATTTTAATGGCAAACATTGTTGAAAATATTTTGAACAATGTCTAATGAACCAGCACTGTCTACATATTCTCAAAGAAAACTGGTAGTAAGACATGTTTTAACTTAAGGAAGCAGTGCTAAAATCTTCTTCAAAAAATTATTCATTTGTTTGCTTAATTTTTTTAAATTTAAGAAAGGTTTTTACAGTTAATCCAGAATATATAAATTAAAGCAATTAGCCTGTAATTTCATGGATCTCCAACATCCTTTTTACAATATTATCATATACTTTTCAATACTCAAAGCAGTTGATCGTAAAAATGTTGTAAAGTTCTGCCATTTTAAATAAGCTTGCTTTAATAATTTGTGTGGATGTCATCAGGACTCAGTGATTTGCTTGTTTTCCTACAACTTACTTTATTTACCACATTTTGTCTCAAGTCTTTGGACTAATTTCCTAAAAATAACTAAATTAGCATTAGTACTGAGCTTTATCTTTTGCATTGAAAACAGACACAAACAATTGTTATAATTCTGCTTGTTCTCTTTTATTACTCCTTTTTGTTTATTGCCATTCAACTGCCTCCTTTTATCTTTTCCCCCTTTTGACATATTTAAATATTTTTATTGTTTATTATTAGCAACATAACACTTTCTGTGTTTTTATTTGCTTGCTTTTCTATAGCAGAAGTATTATTTTTTGTTCTCATTTTAGAAGTATTTCCATTTCTTAAGGAAGCCTTGGATACAATATCTTTCTAGTATAAACTGTCCATTCTACTATTCTATTATGTTGTAGTAATGAAGGCAAGGAAATAAGGGCATAACCTTGAACCCAGGATAGATATTGTTTGTCTGGCCAAAGGCTGGGTTCTTTTTTTTTAACTCTAATTTGGGTTATTATTCTGGGAAAGAAATGAAAACCACTCCCCTGCTTTGTCTTGTTCTTATTTAAATACTCATGGATTGTGAGCTTTTACTTTGGCTTATATTGAGCTAAAAGGAAATACGCTAAATTTTTAATTCATTCTCTTCCAAATATTTTGAAATCCATTTAGGAATTAACAATTTCTCTGCAGCATATGTCTAGAAATCCTATTCAGAAGGATGACTGTTCTATTTTATTCCACATTGGTCAAGATCTTGCCTTGAACACAGTGGTGAAATTTAAAAAAATTTCCTACCAGTTTTATGGGCGTGGCTTGGTAGTCATGTGACTGGGTGGGATAGCTTGGTGCAACAAATAGGAACCTCACAGAGACCTCATATTTACACAGAAATAACACAACAGCTACACAACTGACTCACACACAAAGTAAAAGCAGCTGGACTTCACACCAAATACCCACAGAGAGCTCTAAGACCAATTATCAAACTATACACAAAAATAACACAACAGCTACACAACTGACTCACACACAAATTCAGATGATCAGCTGTGACAATCACCTGTGCCGCATGATCGTCAGAACCTTTTATTAGCATTTTTTTACTACTGGTTCAGGCAAATAGGTAGTAAAAAATGCTCAAAAAAGGTTCAGACATTTGCGTGTCACAGCTGATCATCAGAACCTTCCCCCACCCCTTTTTTAAAAGCATTTTTACTACCTATTTGCCCGAACCGGTAGTAAAAAAATGCTTTAAAAAAAGGTTCTGACGATCAGCTGTGCCCCGCGATCCTCAAAACCTTTTTAAAAACTTTTTAAAGCATTTTTTTTACTACCGGTTTGTGCAAACTGGCCCAGACCCATAGCATTTCATCCCTACTTGAACACTGCTTCCAGGTCAGAATACCACACTTAATATGAATTCACACAACCTGAAACTACACAAAAAAGGATCAGAATGATCAGGGGATTGGGAGCTTAGATTTTAGGGCAGAATCTTTAACTTTTCAAAAAGTCAACTGGAAGGAGGATAACATTCTTCAAGTACCTGAAAGTTCAGAAGAGAATCCTGACTTGTTCTTTGTTGTTCCAAAGTGCAGGACATAGAATAATGATTAAATTACAGGAAGTTACATTCAAGGGTAAGTTAGGACAGAAAAACAACTTTCATACTAAGACCACCTAAACAGTAGAATTACCCTTTGCTGGAGATCTTTAAACAAAGGCTGCATAGAGATTGTACTGATAACAAAGTTGGACTTAATGAGCTAACTGTGTTTTTCCAATTTTTTTTATTTGATAATTTTATTATAATTTTATAATGCAGAATTATCAAAATAGGTTAACATATATTCTACATTTTTGTGCTTGATTTTATCGCTCAAGCGGCCTTCATTTTCATGAGTGTACAGTAGCCAAATTGTATTTTCTTCTTCATAATATGTTTGTACCAGTTCTTATGAGTGAAATGAATGAAATAAATATAAATAAACACAATCTGTATGGGTATACATATACGGAGGCTGTATGCATATATATTTATGTTATGGATGATTTAGAATGCCAGTGAAAGAAAATGTATTGCTACTAATGTATTTAATCTGTTGAACAACTAAGTGAATAAAAATATTGAAGACATTCACATCTGAATAACATTACAATAGGCAGCTATGCAAAAATCTATCCTGTGCTGTACAATTCCTTCTGCAGTTTTTACATATGCATGTAGAATATGCTAACCAGAATAAATTCTGGGTAGAAAATTCACCTTTTATTTTTGATAGAAATCTGAATACATTCAGAGCAAACAGAGAATTTTGACAGATACAGTAACTCTATTTTCTCTCCACCTATTACAAGGAAGATCTTCATAGTTACCATCATACCCTAAAATGCAGAATATACAAGTTTAAGAAAAGTCATTGGAATCAAAATATGGTCATGCCTATTTTCTCCTTAATGTTTCCTTCAACAGTATGTTAATCTGCAATAATTAGTTCTTCTGACATGTTTGTAAATGCAGAACTAAGTTTCCCATGCTTACCACTGTTGATGGTAATGCCAACATTTTTATAGTGTTCTGATAGAAAAAATTATTCAGAAATATTCAGTCACTGAGACAATCAATATAATGTAATAAGTTTGTAGTTGCCTCTACTCATGGTTCTTAAGGATGGAAATGTACTATTTTTTGTAATGCTGCAACTTTGACAATTTTCCATGCTTGTCTTTCTCATTATAGGTTGTGAGAGCTGCCGAGGAAGCTGCTTCCACTCTGGCTAGTTCCATCCATCCAGAACAGTGCATCAAAGTGCTTTGTCCCATCATTCAAACAGCTGACTATCCAATTAATCTGGCTGCTATTAAAATGCAAACTAAAGTCATTGAAAGAATCTCAAAGGAGTCATTGCACCAGCTCCTACAAGACATCATCCCTGGATTGTTGCAGGTATGCGTCTATGTATGGAATTGCTCAGTTGCTCCAAGCAGCAAATATCATTTTTATTTATTTATTTATTTTATGTTGATAAGACTTGCTAAATTGAAGGAAATAATAGTAGGAAATTAGAATGTAATGCATTTTCAGTGTAAATGAGAAACCTTTGGGCTAAGGACCTATTTCAACCTTAAGTCCATCCAAAGCCATCACCACTCTTTCTATCATTGCCAGCCATGGTAATGGTTGAAAAATCATGCTCTTTTTTTATGGAAAAAATCTTTGTGCAGAAAAAAAAAAGGATGGCTTCAAGGACCAGTCCCAAAGGTGCTTTTTCAAGAGGCAACTGGACTTTCTTTGAAGACGTTTCGCTTCTCATCCAAGAAGCTTCTTGGATGAGAAGTGAAATGTCTTGAGAGAAAAACAACCATGAACAACCGTGAGCTGGAGGACTGAGAATCACCATAGGCTTCAGGGCCAGGGGAGGATTCCTATCCAATCCTCCTACACTCATCCCTGTTCTAAATTTAAAAACTGTTTATTGAACCAGTCTCTCTGCTTCTTTCCTGTGGCTGCTTTAATAGCCTTTAGATGTGGCAACCAGTAAGACCTCCAACTCTTATTCTCTTTTTTCAGGCTATTTTTGCTATTTTCAGAGAGACGGCAGTCAGAGAATGGTTGAGTTTCCTTTACCAGCTTTACTAAATATTTCATTCTGTCAAGTTTTTGCTTATTTAGAGAAATTAATTCTGGAAACTCTCAAAAAGTACAATCAGAAGAGTCATTCTGAATCTCCCTAGTTGTTTGATAAAGAAAGGTCAGTTTCTGCTAAAGTGTTACAGACAGGTTAAGTAAACTCTAATCCTGTGACAGTATTCAACTAAATTTCTTGGAGTATGCTTCTCTCTCTCTCTCTTCCCCCCTTCCTCCCCCTTCCTCTGAGACATAAGGCTTTTTACAGTCAATCTTAGGATCTGATAAGTTTCTCTCTGCTTTTAATTGAGGGCTTATGAATCACCTCTTCAATAAAAGGCTTGAAACAGTGGATGGTAAAGTTAATATAAACTCTGAGAATATAGACATTGTTGATCAGGTTCCAAAGAAGTCCTTTATTTGCAGTCATTGTCTTTCTTGCCTCTCACAAGCTAACTGAAGGTCGAAATATCTCACCTGATTTATTGTAGTGTTTCCTCCTGAACCAGTTTGCTTAAGGACAGGTTCTTCTGTCTTCTTTCTCTCTTCTATCTCCTGGGGTGAGCAGATTCTGTAGTAGCTCTAAAATGGCAGTTGGAGGAAGAAAGGACCTTTCAGGCATTCTGGAATAAAAATAATACAAAGTAAAGTTAATCAAGGAATTAAGCCAGTCCTATTTTTGGTGTTGTTCTTGGTCATTGTTTTAGCATATGGTATCTAAAGAAGCCTACATCATATGTTCTTACAATATTTTTAAATATCAGACTTGTTCTGATATCTTTCTCATCAAAGTACTTGAAAGATTTATTTTGAAACTTTGCTCAAGGCTCATGAATTAATTAGGGCATCCATCGGAACCCTGACACTTAGGATTGACAATATTAGATTGTGTAGTGTTTGTCAGAATGGCCAAAGGGAATTCTTGTCTTGTTGGGAATCAGGTGTCATCTTTGTTTGTTTATAAAATGTCTGTGTTCAATGGCTTTTTAAAAAACAATCTTAAAGCACTAAAGGTACTGGTTATTACTTTTAAAGCCTTACATAGCATGGATCAAATTACTTGTGAAACTACAGGTAATCCTTGACATATAACTAGAGGTGGGTTGCTCCTGGTTCAGCTGAACCGGTAGTGGGAGCGGCGAGAGGCTCTGCCCACCCAACCGGACGCTTCTGTGCATGAGTGAACCGGTAGTGAAACAAGTAGAAACCTACTACTGCATATAACCAAATTGCAGTGTCTGGTGGTCATGTGATCACATTTTGAGACCTTCTGACAAGTGGAGTCAATGGGGAAGCCAGATTACCTTAACAACCATGTTGCTAACTTAACAACTACAGTGATTCACTTAATAACTGTGGCAAGAAAAGTCATAAAATGGAGCAAAGCTGAATTAACAACTGTCTAAGCAACAGAAATGTTGGGTTCAATTTTGATCATAAGTCAAGCACTACCTGTAATGACTATATCAAGTATGCTAGCAAAGAACAGCTTAGCACCATGTGTGCTTATAAAGAGTATGGAAAGGAAAGTGATATAAATGTGAGATTTCTCAATTATTTCAAAGGATGGAAGGGTGTTTGGCAGGAATGGTTTCTGTGTGTGTGTGTGTGTGTTGTGCATTTTCTCTGTCTGTATGTGCATACTAAATGTTTGGGGGGTGTTAAGTGTTTTTTCTGTCTTTTGTGACTTGTGGGTTGTAGTACAACCCACATTGGATGCTACTTTTCTGGAAAATTATATTTTATTTTTCTATTTTTTTGAACATTACTGTCCCCTAACCCTGAGGGCTGGTTCACTTACGTCTTCATTGGATTGACAAAGAGATTGGATGGGCAGATTGCTTTAAGATCCTTGAAAAAGGCAGGATATAAGTGGAATACATACAGTACATGTATAAAACAAAACCAAATAAGTTCCACATCTTTTGGGTCAGATATAATGAATGATAACAATAAGAGTGAATTAATATACTAATTATAATAATGAGTTATTATAATTAGTGATAGCATTAATATTAACATATTGCTAACACATAATAATATTAATATGCTAATTATAACAATGAGACTGAATTAATATTAGTTTTAACCAGAACATTGTGATCTGATACTTGCATAATGCAAAATTGCTGTGCGTGGTTTAGACACTACAATGATAGGTTAACACATTAATAGCTATCTATATGTTTGTTTAAACTTAAATGGTAGCTGTTCTTGTCCAATCCTTAGGTTTCATAAGCAGGTATTGACGCCTTTTTAGAATTTACAGTTCTTGTTCCAAAGGGTATGTAAGGAGAGATTGTACAGCACAAGTTATTAAACGTATGAAGAGCTGTCATTTTGGGGGGCAGAAAAATGATCATTGGTAAAAAAAAAAAAATCCGAGTTCCTTTATTCTGTTGTAGTCTCCAAAGACCATTTTTCATGTTTTAAAAATGAAGTACCAGTAGGTTTTTATATAGGTTAGCTTGTATTATATAGTTTAGCTCTGAACTACTTGTTCAGTTGTTCTTATTAGCCCTTCCTTGCTCTCTGTGTCAGATCTTTTGACTGCATGTTTTAGGTTGCATGTTTGAAAGATGTGGAGACTCTAGAAAGAGTGCAGAGAAGAGCAACAAAGATGATTAGGGGACTGGAGACTAAAACATATGAAGAACGGTTGCAGGAACTGGGTATGTTTAGTTTAATAAAAAGAAGGACTAGGGGAGACATGATAGCAGTGTTCCAATATCTCAGGGGTTTCCACAAAGAAGAGGGAGTCAAACTATTCTCCAAAGCACCTGAGGGCAGAACAAGAAGCAATGAGTAAGGAGAGAAGCAACTTAGAACTGAGGAGAAATTTCCTGACAGTTAGAACAATTAATCAGTGAAACAGCTTGCCTCCAGAAGTTGTGAATGCCCCAACACTGGAAGTCTTTAAGATGATGTTGGATAGTCATTTGTCTGGAATGGTATAGGGTTTCCTGCCTAGGTAGGGGGTTGGACTAGAAGACCTCCAAGGTCCCTTCCAACTCTGCTATTGTATTATTGTATTTGCAAAAAGGAAACCTAATCTGATCTTGCCTTATTAATACTGTTCTCCAGCAAGGGCTGTCCTAGTATCAGATAAGAGTGAAAAAAACCACCAACTAAATGAATGGGCTGAAAATCCTTCTCCCAACAGAGGTCACTCTGAGTCCAAGGTATAAGCAAAACATAAGCTCAGCATGCCTCTTTCTGTTTTATTATTATATTTTCAAATAGTGATTTAATAGAATATTTTTACAATGATTATTGTAAGAGCTTAGATGCTTTTTGGTGAAGCTCTGCTTCAACTGAAGGAATGAATATAGGCTTTCTCGTAACTTACATCAGTTGTGGACAACTTTACTTTTTGTCATAATACTACATAAAATCTGTCATGAATCAAACCGCATGCAATTGGAAAAAAAGAGAGGTTACCATATTCTATTTATTTCAAACCTTCTTTTCTTTCCACACAGTCAAGGAAAGGTAGATCACTTTTCCAGGGATCTGAACTTATTCATTGTAAAAGTCATATAAAATTAGACTAGGGGGTTGCATAAAACCAAGCAATGGGACAATATACTTATGTGTGTGTTTATGTGCTGTATTTTATTTGACAGAACAGTCTCTCCAAATAGCAAGCAATAGACCTACATGTTGTGATTTCTTCTCCTCCCATACCACAGTTCCTACATTTTATTATAAAATTAAAGCAGGCTAACAACCTATATGATAAATTGGAAACATTTGCCTATCAATAGTAATGGTTCATTTAATTACAAATAAGATTCCAGATAAAGTTCTTTCCCAAATACTGCTGAATTAGGTCTGCGTTTTGAACTAAACCAATAAATTACTTTGAATCGTTAGCTTTTTTTCAGACATAAATCTAATGTGCAACCATTATATTTTGATCATTCCTAATTGTGATCTGAGCTGGTAAATACAAAAAGAAGAATATTCAAATAGATCGATCCCCTGAGAAAACTAGGGTAGGGAGGAAGATGAAAATCCATAACTTAAAAGACAAGTAATCAAACTAACCGTACTCAGCGGGATCTCAATACATTTAATAACCACAGATTTTGAGTTTGTTTTGGAGAAACAAATGAAAAACCCATAGAAAAAGTATGGGAACTGTATCTGTTTGAAAAGGGCTAAAATGTTAATGAACTGAAGTATCGCACTTACGTAATATTTGGTCCTAGTACTATTTTTATCTCCATTTCTCTAATCTTTGGCAGGCCATTCTACTATTAATATTGTGCTTTAAAAGATGCGTTATAACAGCAAAATTAGAATCACAGTTGTATTTGAGTTTTGAAAACTGCAAGTATAGGAGTTCTTTACAACATAAGGTTGATTTGGTTTTCTGGAATTAATTAGCTACAATGTTGCATTATAAAGCTAAATGAGTTTCTGTTTGTCTGCTAGAAACAGGCTACAACTAAAAAATGTTAACTGTCATAAATATGAGTCAGTTGCCAAGCATCCAAATTTTGATCACATGACCTTGGGGAAGCTGCAATGGTAGTAACTGTGAAAAATGATCTTAAGTCACTTTTTTCACTTCAAATTGTGACTAAATGGACTGTTTTAAGTAGAGGATTCCCTGTATTAGTTAACTGGGCTCATATGTCACTCCAGTCACTACCAACCCTGAGTGGCTTCTGTACTTAAAATATGTAAATAGGATTAAAATAGTAGGCAACCCCATATCCTATACAGAATAATAATAATATATCTACATCATCATGCACCAAAACAACACTAATCAAATAAACAAACCCAGAACATATATCAACCATATATGTGTGTATTTGATGTATTACATATGTATCAGTAAACCTCTTGTCACTTTTACTTTTAAACAGCAGTAGAGTCTGTTTGTAGTGATGCAATAAATACTCTACACTTCTTTTAAAAAAGCACAGGCAGATATGGACAGTGGTACAGCAGTTTTCAGGAGGGTTATATTTAATATGTCTCCTTGGGTGGGAGGTGGGGGGATGCCATGTATCCATCTCATTCATCCTCTGAGTTTCTAAAACTGAAAGGAAAGTGTTTTTGATTCTCATACAGTTGATGTCTTTCATCTAGGGTTATGACAACACCGAAAGCAGTGTTCGCAAAGCCAGTGTGTTTTGCCTCGTGGCCATCTATTCAGTGATTGGCGAAGAACTGAAGCCTCATCTTGCACAACTGACTGGGAGCAAGGTATGTGCCCCACTGCTTCAAACTGTATTCATAGAATGAAGGGAGCAAGTCTTGAAATTAATAGCTGAGGTTCCCCTCCCAAATGACATGAAAGAGATGCATATCTCAGTCACTGATTTGGTGGGTTGCTAGTTTTATGAATGGCAAAATATCTCCTTTACAGATACATCTTTGAATCAGCTAAACAAGTGATTTCAGTTTGTCACACTTTTTGCAAATTTACACATACAGGATTGAGACTTATCCAAAATAGCAAGGAACAATTGGAAAACCAAACTGGAAAAAAAGTTTACTTAACTCCTTTTTAAATCATAGGAAGCATACTTGGCATTTCTTAAAACCTGAAACCATTGACTTATTTAATGTAGGATATTCTAGTTCCAAATTTCTTATATATTATCCAAATTTATTTTGATATTTTAAAAAAAATGTGTTGATCATATTTGGATTTATAAACTGAAGTGCTCTGAAGATGTTACCTACTTTGGTAACAAAATGTCTGCAAAAAATAAAAGATCAGAAAGCATACAAATAATTATAAAACAAAGAAACTTTTATCCAAATTTTTGTCATTTTGCTGTTTTTTATCAATTGGGTTCCCTTTGTGTTCTTTCAAAGTTTTTTAGAAGGTTGTTCATAGATGGTTAAGAGTATCTATTTTCATCCTGTGTTTTCCAATATAATCAAGCACTTGTTAGGATTTTAAAGAAGCCAAATAATAGCTGTTTAAATGAGCCCACATTGAAATATTACCCAAGCAGAAGGATTAGAATAATATTTTATCCCAGATAAAATATACAGGGAATCAAAGTTTCTTCATAACCTGCTCCACACATTTAATTAGAATTAGAAGAATGTTCTCTGCATATGTTAGTACTCTCTAATGCAATATACATTCTTTAAAAATGCCTGCTTTTTTTCTTACTGCAAAAACTCATTTTGAATCCAGTGATAAGAACAGATGAAAATAACATTAAAGCTGAATATATGTAGAGCTGAACAAATTAGAAATGTAGGATTAGTGATGTTCAAATAACCTTTAATTTGTTTTAAACAATTTGTTGTGAAATCTATTTTGAAATTTGGGCACTGACAAGATTCTATTTATGGCAGAAGAAGACAGTGCTCAAAGGTTTCTTTCAAACTTCGAAGACCACTCCTTCTTACTTTCTTATAAAATAATGCCAACCCTAGCAAGAGACCAAATTCCTTTGCAGTCCCCAGGACATTCAAAAACAGTACCCCCGTATGCCAGGAGATGTGAAAAGGAGAATTGAGAATCAGCTTGGAGATTAAGCACCTTGAAAAACATATCTTCTCAGAATGCCAACAGCCTCCTTGTTTCCATAGATGTTAGCAAATAAAGAAGGAGCTGGCTGCAGTGATGCTCATAAGTGTTAAGTCTGCTGATTCTCAAAGTAATTAAAAACTAAATTAAAACTCATCATGTTATGAGTGCCAAAGTTTGAAGGAAAATACCCCGTTCCTTATGTATTTGATTATGTGGTCCTGATCCTGAATCTACTTACGACATTCATTCTGTAGAAACACCTCACTCAGGAAAGATGTGCTGAAATCTGAGAACACAGTTGTAATGGAAATCTGATGGATCATTTACACTTTTCTTAGTATGAGAAGTATCATAAACCAAAACTAATGAAAGGCATCTGGATTTGATCAGCTGGCAAGCTTTCCATTTTTGAACTTCAGAAATGAACAGTTGAAGCTAACATATGGATTTCTTATTGGTAACGGCAAAAAAAAAATTACAATAAAAATATTGCTGTGGAATTCCATCCATCCAAATAATAGTGATACTGTTCTACATGCATGAACAATGCACAATTTCTTTTTTTTTGGAGAGAGCTACTTCAGTGAGTGCTCCCTCGATTGTGGCAGTATACAAATAGTAAAAAATAAATAAATAACAATGGCCTGCTATGAAATGAAATGAAATAACTAAAAAACTGTGAACCTCTCTCTTCTTTGTCCTTTTTCAGATGAAGCTCTTGAATTTGTATATAAAGAGAGCGCAGACGACCAACAGCAACAGCAGCTCATCCTCAGATGTTTCTACACACAGTTAATGGAGATCTTTGGACATATGTGTAGACATAGAAACAATCAGCTGTGCCTCTCAGAAACCCTCCCCTCATCAGCACGCTCCATCTGCTGATGGAGGCCATGCAAATATTTATTGCAATCAGTATTTTTAGTCCTTTTAAAGCTTTTTATTGTAGGAGATTCTTGGAATTGAATATAAGGGAAGCAAGGCCTGGATTGCAGTTTTCATTAAAAACAAGGTAATAGTGTACTGTGGTTAAATGCATTGCAGTTACATACTGTCTCTGCTAAGATCTGAAGTAGTCCCAGAGATGCATAACACGTTCATATTTTATCAAACAGATTTCTTTGATATTGATGGAGAGCTTGAATTTATATTAGACTATATTTGTATTATAGTCACACTTTTAACTAGCTATTCTAGTTCCCCCAATTTCTCAAGCATCGTTTTAAAACTGAGCTTAAAAGTTGGAATGAATTTGCATTTGTTTTCAGACGTAATCTATACAGGCTATAAAATCAAGCCCTTCAACTAGTTTTTTTTAAACTAGAAAAAACCAATAACAATCACCTGTGTGGCAAATGTTAGGAAAATTCAAGAAATCCCAAGCAAATATGCAACAGTACAATCTATACAGGGCAATGTGGTTAGTTTTGTAGAACCGATTCAAGAGCTGCATGGACAACTCAGTTTACAATTTCTTCTCTGTATTTCAACATATATTTTTTTCAAAATGTTTGAAATTGCAAGCTACATTGGTTCTAACTTACCTGACACAGCTTTACTGTTTGTTTCTTTGTTTTAACAGAACTCTGTTTTGTTACAGTGTTTATGGTATTCCTTCTGTGACAACAGATCTCTGTTAGTGTGCACTGAGACTAGATGCACTGTAATTGCCTGTATACTGGTCAAGACCTAATGTTGCTGTCAGAGAAAAGTGTCTCCTAGGAGATATATGTGAAATTCTATTTCTGCTGCTTCGATGTTCCATGAGAAAACGTTCTTTCCAAAGCTCTGATTGGCTTCCCGGAGCTGCAACTCAGATAACCAGGCCTTCCTTCCTTAATAAAATACTTCTTTCATTTGTCAACAACGTTCCTTAGTGTGACAGTTGTTCTCTTAATTTTCACCTTCACTGATCAGGAGTCCTCCAGACTTTGAGTACTTCAGCCTCCTCTTCCTCATCCCAGTCAGCCTGAATTATTTATAATGGTTTTTCTGCGCCTAACATATCAAATTATTTCCATTTTAAGATGATCATACACGTACGTTGATTATTTTTGGCAGTGCTCAAAGGGCTAGCTTAATCTGCAACAATTTGCTTTCTTTTAAAGCTGTACAACTGGGGAATGTAAGATGTATTTAAGTGCTCTGGGCAAAAGGATTCTTTAGCTACTACTCTGTCCATGCTGATGGAAGTAGATCTGCATGCTGCTGGCACACAAAAAGCAAGAGCCAGAATAGAGAGGGCTCCCTCTTTCCCCAGCACGATTCAAGTGTGCTCAGTTGCTTTGTCTCTTGCTGCCTTCTTAGACAGGGCTTTAACTTTTTGAGAAAAACCGATGTGATTTCCTTCAGGGTCTTCTCCATTGACCCATTCCTCTTCCCTTTTCAGGCCATTATATCTGAAAATTCACACAAATCAACCTGCCTGGTACTGGTTTGCTTAGATGGGGATGCGTCTGTTCTCCCATGGCACATCAGTGTATCCAGGGCAGGAGTATACAAATATGTGCAATCCCTTTCACCATCTAAATCCTGTCCATTCCTTAATGTAGTGCTGAATTATCCGAGGCATTGTGGCTTTCCTTTGAAAAGGTACACTGTGTGTGCTTACTGGATTACAATACAACACAAGACTTTTCTATCACCTCCTGTTACCTCTCGGTAACCTGTATACATAATGTACCATGCAACCTGTCACATAAATCTTCTTTCTACCACCCTCTCAACCCCTTTATTTATCAAGTGTAATGGTTCACATTAAAGGACAACGAAGAAATATTTGTAGAATGCAGAAAATGTTTGCTAACAATAATAATGTTATAAATGGGAAGGGCAGGGTGACAAAGCTTATCAAACCAGTTAGCCATCAGAAAAAGTTTCTTGGCACAGTGTTCATGCGCATGTATTTAATTTTGATTTTGGGTTGGTTGTTTTATTTTCTTTCATTTTTTTTGCGCTTTGTCATGTTACATCCATATCTGTATTTATATCTTATTTGTTTCACTTTGAGTGTATCATGGCAAATGTACAGATGTTTTTATGTTAACATTTACATGATAGAATTTGCTAAAAAAAAATAATAATAAAACTTTCTGAGTTTGCCCTAGAATAAAAGAAAATAAATTTGAGTCCTTATGGGAACTTCTTTGCACTACTTCTTTGCATTCCCCTTAATGATGAAAAAGAACCTTTAAGATCATGTTGATGAAATGCTTGTGCTAAACCTAATTTCTTAACCTCCAAATCACATTTGAATCACACATGCACACTTAAATCGATGCAAGCTTTCAGAAAACAGCTGTGTGTTTGAGATCAGGTGTTTGGTTGGGGAACATGACTATGGCATAAAAGATGCACCAGAAAGCAGTTCTACTTAATGCCAATCCATATTGCCATTTTTATAGGGAAAATGAAGTGTAGAAATTACATGTTACATTTAGACACCTAGAGTGCTATATTAACATGCTATGAATTGGATCTGCCATCACAATCACAGAATTCCCTCCGTATTCTTTTATTGTGTTGGATGCATTTTCCTTGCACAGCACTCTTAACTTGCACATTTCAAAGAGTCTCTTCCTAGAACAGTTCCAGCTAAGCTACTTCATTCTATGTTTGCACCTATACAATGTCTTATGATCTTTGTGTAATCCAGACACAATTCTCTTCTTTTGTTTAAACAGTTAAATTTGTGTCTGTGTGTATGTATATAGCTGCAAAACATTTGATACAACCTCTGTGTTGGTACACCTCTATGGAAATTCTTATTCCTGTACTGACCTTTTGACCATAGCATTTTAATGTCAACCAAGTTAATCTGGTTTTTATCCTCTATAGCTGAAATTTCTATATGCAACTCTTTAGTTCCCAAGCGAGAAGAACAGGTTGGAGGAGTTAATTCTACAATCACAAATACTAAATCAGATACATAGAAAATCCATCCTTTTTGAAAGAACTGAATGAGTGCCTAGGTGCAGGGTGTCACCTCAGCTAAAACATAGTAATGGGCACCCAAGTTTCTTCTACAAAGGAATGAATCAATTCTTAAGTTTTTTGTGATACCTGAATCTTGCAATGAAGACAAATAGGAGGAATTAAAAAGCCTTAACAAAAACATTGCCTACTAACAAAACAGAATCACTTACTAAAAAAGTCTACCCACAATACATTTGTGCAATACAGAAGGTTATTTCTTTTTCAAATACATACAGAAAACTAAAGTTAAGAATAATGGATATAATGGGGAATTGGTAATACATTTTGTTAAGGATTCTAATTAATACTGCTATGCATGTAGGTTTTTACATCACATCTCACTGAAATAATTTGCATCATAAGGCCTATTTACTGTATGTTTTGTATATATTACTAAATACTAGTGTCAAGGAAATAAAATGAATGAGATTTTAGTAAATCTGTATGTCTACACATTGATGCAAATGGATGTGATGAGATTCTCTGCATACAGATTGCAACCATTAATTGAACACTTTTGTTCAAAATTACAATAGTGCTGAATGAATGGACTTAACTACCATCGGTACCTGAAGTTACAGCTGTTGCAGCACTTCATGGTCCCATGATCAAATTTGGCCACTTTGCAGTCCCATTACAGTTACAACTTACAGGGATGCTTCAACTCTCCCTATCTGCCCCTCTATCTATGCCCTTTTGACACCCCCCCCCCCCAGGTCCCCTGCACTCCACTGCCCCAGCTGATCTTCACCATCTTTTTGCTCTCAATGTAGACCCAGATGGGACTGGGCTTCAGCTATGAAAACAACAAAAGCCAAAGGCAGCCCCAGAATTATGGTGCTAAAATGCCTCTTTGTGCTGCTGCTGTTGCTGCAAAAAAAAGAGTGGGTGGGTGGGATTTGCAGGACATTCCTCCAGGGGTGAGATGTTGCAGGAATGTGCAAAGGGATCTCGGGGCACCCCGCACCTTACAAGTTTCTTGCAGAGGAGCATTTTAGCACACAGCTCTGGAGCTGCTTTTGGCTTTCCCCCATACCAGCAGTTAAAACTCAGCCTGTCCCTTTCCAGGAGCATGAAGCAAAAGGGCTTTACGGTGGCACTATGGTTCTGAAGTTGCTTTTCACTTTTGAATTTTATTTATTTAACATGCTGACCTGGCCCAGCAGCCAGGCCAGGCACATCTCATCAGCATTAGGAGCAAGAAGACAGTAACCCTCAGCTCTAGGCAGCAGATTGCAGAGAGGTGAGGATGAATACAGTTCCCTGGTTCATAACAAGCATCCCCAGAGCTGCACACACATTTTTTTTAATTATTATTTTGGGAATAATCTAGATATGTACATAGTGACCAGGAGCAGACTCCTACTTAAAGTCCCAAATGGATGGTATCAAAGGAAACATATTTGATTGCACTGGAGTAAAGGCTTAACATCCTATGACACCTTAATTTCTGAACTAAGATTCATTGATTCTTTTTACCTGTCCCAAATTTTCATTACTTTGGATCTACAAAAGCAATCACCTTTAAGAGTACTTTGGAATAAGAAGCCTTCAAGAACGTTTTTGTCCCACTAGGATATTTTGTTGAGCTTATGCTGTATATAACATAACAACAATTTGATTGCAAAGTGCTTTACAATAATATAAAACAACTGTAATATAAATTAACAACTATTAGCCTACTGTTTCATTGTGCTCTTGGCATGATCAATTAAAAGCAACCAGCTCCTCCAAAGAATTGTAATGTATTACCACAAGGGTTTAACTGTCTTCTTAGTGGTAATTAATAATGCTTGTTTAACTCTGTTTTTGGCAAGACTTTGAAGATTAGACAGTACAAATATAAAGAAATTTTGTCCCTTTCAGGTGTAAAATGAATGGATAATAATAGGAAATCAGGTTAAGACAAAATAGATAAAAAATACCTGTACAGAAACACAACCAATTCTACTGTAATCTCTATAAAGAAAGTTGACCCTTAAAATATTCCAAATTATGCACTTGATCATTTGAAGCCTAAACAACATGAAAGGTAAGGAGCCATCAACATAGACACTTCTGTCTTCCCAGAATGTAATCCCACTAACAGTTTCATGTATCAGTTCAATACTTCTGATTTACCTAATGTAAATGAGAAGGATAAGTAAGAACTACGTAAGTGTTATCAGACACCAGAGTTATGTGGAAGACACAAATGCTTTATTGCAGGGGTCCCCAACCCTGGACCAGCACTGGCATCAGTCTGTGGCATGCCAGAAACTCAGCCACACAAACAAGCAAAGCCCCATCCATGTGATGCAGGCAGCACATGAAACCACGCCCCATCTGGTCCTCATAAAAACCTCTCCATGGAACCAGTCCTTGCTGCCAAAAAGGTTGGGGGCCACTGCTTTCTTTGATATTTCCATCTCTTCTAGCCATCTTATACAGACTTTGATCAGAGGTTTCCTACTCTGTAGAAAGAAGTTCACACTGCATTATATGTTAAACCAGGGGTCCCCAAACCAGGGCCGTGGCCCATTACCAGGCCTTGAGCCTTTCATAACCGGTTCTGGCTGAGGAATTCTGGGAGTTGAAGTCCACAGGTCTTAAAGTTGCCAAGGTTGGAGACCCCTGATCTGAAAGGTGCATGAGAGCAACCTAGCATATCTGAGACAAGATCAGGTCAAAATATAGATTGTAGTGGGTTTGATATGGGCTATTTCAATGAAGATCTCAAGAAAGTATACGTTGGACCAAATCAACTACACTTCATATGCTTACAATAAGAAAAGCAAACAGGAAACAGTCTGCAATACTACAAATGCCTTTGCTATGGCAATTGAAAGCCATCACATAAAACAAGACCATGTAATGCTCTGAATACACACGGAGACATTTACAAGAACTTTATATAAAGCCAAGGGTGCTTTTCACCCTGATTTGTAGTACCCAAAATATCTTGATGTGATTTGTCCGGACTGGATCAGATCGGATTTTAGCCCTGAGGCATTACAGAAAGCTCTGAAGTTTCCTGCATTGCAAATTGCATGTTAGGCAAAGTTGATAGAAATGCAAATTTTGAATGCACATGTTTCAATCCCCTTAACATCCCATTCAATCAAGAGACTCTTCTAAAAAGCCTAAAGAAAATGAAGGCGGTTATTATTTATTTATTTATTTATTTATTTATTTATTTATTTATTTATTTAATAGATTCAAGGAGATAGTACTTCACTATATACATATGTCAACCAATACAGTTTTTCTCCTTAGAATTATCCAGCTTTCTGCAATTGGGTAACCCCTCCAGAAGTTTCAAATTTCAGTTCACAGAATTCCCAAGTGGGAATTATGGCAGTTTGGTCCAAAACATCTAAAAGGCATCAAGTTGGGAAAAGCTAGATTAAAGAAATGACAAGTTTTTGGAGAGAATGCAATGTGTGTACCATTTACTTCAATAAGCTTACACAATCAACATTAGGCTCTATCATAATAATCTTTTTTTAAAAATTAACTGGATCTAACTTTTCCAAAAGAAAAGTATGTTATTCACTGTTCTTACCTCAAGTAGTCTAATCATAGCTTTCACAAACAGTTTTACAGAACAAAATTATCAACAAATTTTGTGTTTCAATTGAGCCAATTATCTTGGGATGAATTTCCTACGAGACTATGGTGGAAAAATACTTAAATGTATAAAGATCTTTATAATTTAAAACACAGGTGGGCAACTGGGGGTCTTTTTGTGGATTTCAAAGTCCACATGCATCATTAATGTTGAAAATTACTCAATTTACTCCCATCAAGGGTGATAGTTGAAAACTACAGCGTAAGCTTTAAAGCAGTCATTTCAGTTTTAAAAAGACAAGAGAATTCCCAAGGTTTTAAAAAGTAACCTCTATCCATATTCCATTTGAAGAAAACACTGCCCTGTGGCACAGGAACAATCAAGACACTGAGCCACGTTGTACTGTTCCTATTATGCTATTTCATGCCAGGAACTCTTAGATAAATGTCCTTTGGCTCAGATTCATTTACTGTCTGATCAATTGAAATCTGTGTCAATGAATGGAGCTAGGTACTTCACTTGTCTGTGCTACATGCCATAGTGTATCAATAAGTAGCATTTAATTAGTTGGCTATTCATAGGTTTTGCAGATTTTGATATT